ATTAATTTTGTGTAACTTTTCGCTCTCACAGATACAATTGGACAACGAGAAGCTGCGACGCGATGTGCGTCTGTCCAGCTCGCGCCTGGACCTGCCGCTGCTGTGCAATGTGGGGCGACGCCTCGAGGGGCACACGAATGGCAACGGCAACAGCAACAACAACAATAATGGCAGCAGCAGCCATGTAAACGAGAGTGCAGCAAACACACAGAACGGCAATGGCAACAGCAACAACAACAACAACAATTTGGGCTCCCCCGTTTCCTGCTCGACCACAAACAGCGGCAGCGGCAACGAGCGCGGCTCCTCGACCAAGTCAAACAGCAGCAGCGGCAGCGGCAGCTCCGGCAACTCAGCCAGCAGCACGGGCAGTGCAGAGCTCAAATGCAACTCGCCCATGACACCATCAGGTGGGTAGAGGCAGTGTGGCACTGGCAGGGGGTGAGGCAGCTAAAGGGGTGGGGGGATTGGACTCTTGTCAACATTTGCAATGTTTGCATTTTTAGTGCGTGGGGTTCATACGCATCGCTGGCATCGAATGCGAATTAGCAAAGCTCACGCTCTCTGAGCTCTGGCTGCAGTTGGGCTGGCAGAGGAGGCGTGGCATTAATTAATTTTATATGCAAACGAGGTCAAGGTCGCCATAAATCTGCCACGTGGGCCAGTTTTCAATTACTTATGCTGCGATGCATCAAATAACAAAGAAGCGGGGTGATAAGAGGGGAAAGATTAAATAACTTTTTAGCAGATGAAGTTGCTATAAAACTTTTATGGTAGACTGAAAAGTTGCTATAAAAATTATAATAAGAGATAATCGAGCTCTAGACATTTTAGACCATAAACTTCAGCCTGCTATTCGCATATTTATAGCTTGTCAAACAAATTTGCTATAATGATTATAGTAAGAGATTACCGAACGTTACATATTTCATATAACTCTCTCATATATTTTCCTGGCCTATTTAGGGCATTCTACAAGCTGCTATAATTATAATTATTATTGTTGGCCCTTTTATAGTTTTTAAAAAGTTGCTATAATATATATAAAGAGAAATTTTTACACCTTAAACATTTCATATAACTAACTCAAATCTTCTCGCTCATTTGTAACTTGAAATTTGCTCTGAAATTTGCTATAATTATTATAGTAACATCTAATTGATCCGTATGTATTAATTTAAATTTTCTCCCCAACTTCTCGCCCATCTAGAGCTTGTCAAAAAATACCGCAATTATTTGACTGATCTGGAGTTCGAAGAGCTGAAGGTATACAAAGAGGTCTGGTACTTTGGCCAGCATGCCAGCAAGAACTACAAGCCCGCCCCGACAGCCAACACCACAAATCTGGGCTATGACGATGACAATGGCAACTACAAGATCGTAAGTGAAAATCCATATAATCTATATAAATGCGATCACCCTGTCTAATCCCTCTGTTGTACTGTCTATCCCGATGCCAGATTGAGCACGATCATATAGCCTTTCGCTATGAGATTCTAGAGGTGATTGGCAAGGGCAGCTTTGGCCAGGTGATCAGGGCACTCGATCACAAGACCAATACACACGTGGCCATCAAGATAATCAGAAACAAGAAGCGCTTCCTCAACCAGGCCGTCGTGGAGCTCAACATCCTGGACGAGCTGCGCGAAAAGGACGGCGATGGATCTCATAACGTAATACATATGCTGGACTATACGTACTTTCGCCGGCATTTGTGCATTACCTTCGAGCTGATGAGGTGAGCCACTCACAAAATATTTACATATATATTCCATTGTTGATTTACCCACATTGTTTATGCTGTGACGTCAATGGCGCCTTGATTGGCTGTCACTGTGCAAATAATACGCCGTATTTCTTGCTTAACTTGCCAATTAAAAACGCGTCTTGCACGCATTTTCCGATTAGCATTCCACACGAATTAAATGAATTTATTCGCAACTTCTCCGCATCTCTTCCTCTGCCGCATTTTGTTTTATTTGCCCTTTGCGTGCGTTGCGGCTATTAAAGGACATGCCAAGTCCTTCTTTTTGGCTCTGACAAGTGCCTAGCACGCATTATGCCGATCCTCTGTTGCGCTTTTAGCCTTGGCAACCGAAAGCCCGTAGCCCCTGTGAGGCGACCCCATCTATAAATAGCTATGGAAAACCTGCTCAGATTCGAGTAGATTCTATTATTAATACACATATTAGCAGCGTGTGTGTGTGTGTGTCACATGTGTGTTTGTTTACCTATTTGTTGTTGTGCTTTCGATTTTGGCTTTCCTTTTTTTATGAGCTCGTCATAAATCTCTGTGCGTTTTCTTTATTAATGGCGCCCATAAAACTCAAGTGATTTGCCATAATTATTTGACAACGCTTTTTAATTTCATTTATTACTGCGG